GGTACAGGCCCCACAGCCCCCCCAGGGGGAAGGTACCAGACCCCACAGCCCCTCGGGGGGCAAGTACAGAACCCAGGGTTCCCCCAGGGGGCAGGTACCAGACCCCACAGCCCCCCAAGGGGAAATACAGGCCCCACAGTCTCCCCCATGGGGAATTTAGAGGCCCAAGAGCTTCCCCAAGGGGCAGGTACCAGACCCCAGAGCTCCCCCAGGGGGGAATTTACAGGCCCCAGGGGGAAATGACATGCCCCACAGCCTCCCCATGGGGAAAGTACAGGCCCCAGAGTCCCCCCAGGGGAAAAGGTACCAGCCCGAGAGCCACCCCCCCCCCAGCTGACGGCCTCCCTTTGCTTCCAGAGGCAGAAGGCGTCCCGGCAAAGCGGCGGCGGCTGGCTGAGGAGCAGCGGGCGGCTGTTCTGGAGGTGTCGGAGAACCTGGAGAACCCTCTGCGCTGCCCGGTCCGCCTCTACGAGTTCTACCTGTCCAAGTGGTGAGTCGCCCCCCCGGGGGCCTCCCTCCTGCAGGAAAAGCATTTTTGTTGTGGTTGTTTTGTGTCTATTTGTTGGATAAATACCATTTTGATCCATTTTTGTGCCTTTGTGGTAGTTTTGTGTAATTATTGGCTTATTTCTGGTCATTAAGGGAATTATGGGCATTTTTTTGGGCAGTTTTGTGTGGTTATGTGTAATTGTTGTACTTATTTTTGGTCATTCCTGGCATTTCCTGCATTTTTTAAATATTTGTTTTGTGTGTTTCTGGTGTAATCCTGGTATAATTCCGCCATTACAGATGCATTGTGTCTTTATCTGTCACAGGTTTCTTTTGTTGGTCCTTGTTTTGTTTGTGTGTCTGATATAATTGGCTTCTTTAGGGTCAGGGTTAACCCAAACCCTCTTTTTAGCGAGGTTTCAGTTACAATTTTGAGTCATTATGTCTTTTTGGTAGTTCTTTATGTTGAGTTGGGGGTTTTTTTCTGATAATTCTGGCGGATATTCTGTATTTCTTGGGGATATTTTGCGTGTTTTTCTGGTATGATTTTATGTGTTTTTGTGCTTTTTTTAGTTTTCTGTTGTGAGTTTCGTTTATAATCTAGCTTTTTTATAATTTTTTGTGGTCTTCTGATATGATTGAGACTCTTTGTGGTGTTTTGTGTGCTGTTATTTAATCTTTTCGGTCCTCTGTGCAGCTCTGAGTCGGTGAGGCAGCGTGGGGACCTCTTCTACCTTCAGCTGGACCACAGCTGTGTTCCCAGCAGCCCTTTGTGGTTCCTGCCCACCCCGCTGGACGATGACACCCTGGAGGCCATGCTCATTCGAATCCTCACCATCAGAGAGCTGCAGGTGGCAGAAGACGGCCTGTAGAAGGAAAACACACTCGACAGTTTTAAAAAAAAAAATGTAAAGTTGTGTATCATGTTTTAGTCCAAAACCTTTTAGTTGCATCAATATTTAAGAAAAATGTCAGAGAGAATGGAGTCATAGAGAATGGAGATATCAGGTTTGAGCCACTTCGGATTTAATTATGTCGCTTTTCACTAAGCTTCATGTTGGGATTTTAGTTTTTTTTACGAATAAAATCAATTAAATTTTGTGATTTTTGTCTTTAGTGCCTGTAAAATCTGCAAAAGTAAACATTGCAGAGGTTTTCAGCAAAGGTCTAATGGAAAACCGTCATCTTTTTTATTTGATTTTTATTAACATTTTTACAACTTACATAGAAATATTCATACAAGCCCACATTTAGTCTGCTGCTCTTCACTTACGATATACTTAAGGCAACTTTAAAAGTAAATGCATCAGGTTAAATGATTAAACAAGAATAACATAGAAACATAGCTATAAGTTGTAGATTAATAAGCAATGCAAATGAAGAGAAATTAGTTAAATAAAATGGAAATAACAATAAATAAGAATAAGTGAGAAATATAAAATTACTTTTAAAGAATAAACAAATAGAAATTATAAAAGAAAAAGGGGAAACAAATGTAAAAAGATTTTATTTATCTCTCTCAGCCGACACTTTTACTAAATAAAATACATTAAAGACACACTTTCACAAAGAGTATCTTTAGGTTAAGAAATTAACCCCGGTTCTCTGAAACATGAGTGAGGTATCTCACTATGGGACACGCCCCTTGCGCTTGTCCCCAGAAGCAATTTTTCCACTACGCCAGTCCTGACTGGCAGACAGACGTGACCCTCGCTCCCAGGAGGAGTGTCCTCCTCCTCCTAAAAGGCACGAGCATCACGTTGTCCCTTCAGTCTGAGCAAAAAATACACCTCTTCCTCGCTCCAAGGCAAGGAGGGTGATCTGGTGAGATACCTCACTCATGTTTCAGAGAACCGGGGTTAATTTCTTAACCTAAAGTTCTCTTTCAACATTCGTTTCGGTATCTCACTATGGGATATAGAGACTCCCGTATTGCCAGACAAGCATACCTCAAGGACCCGTTATCAAAAGATAATCATAGTCACACAGGTAGCCCTATACCTGTTTCAGAACCCACGTGAAGAACTCTGTGAGCCAGAGTGGGTGCTGTAACATCCAAACTGTAGAACCTTGAGAAAGTGTGAGGTGTAGACCAGCTGGCGGCCTCACATATTTCCTCAATGGAAACGCCTTGGAACCGTGCCCATGACGCGGCCATCCCACGAGTGGAATGAGCACGCAGCCCTGAGGGGGCTTGGAGTCCCTTGCTCTCATAGGCCAAGGTAATTGCCTCCACGATCCAGCATGACAACCTCTGCTTCGTTAGAGGCTTCCCCAAGTGCGGCGCAGCCCATGAAACAAACAGCTGTTCTGATTTCCTAAACCCAGCTGTCTTGTCCACGTAAGTGCGCAGTGCGCGCACCGGGCAGAGCGCGTTCAGGCGTTCGTGCTCCTTGGATGAAAACGGAGGAGGGTAGAACGCTGACAGTTCAATAGCGCGATATGGCACTGCCGGGTTAAAAACCTTAGGCGTAAATGTGGGGTTAGGTTTTAGCAGAACCTTTGAATCCCCCGTCAAAAAACGCATACAAGCCGGGTTCACCGACAGCGCATGGATGTCACTCACACGCTTGACCGAAGCCAGTGCTAGTAACAGCGCTGTCTTCAAAGACAGTACTTTGAGCTCCACCTGAAGCAGGGGCTCAAAGGGGGGCCCTGACAACGCATTCAGGACCGTGGACAGATCCCACGGTGCGGCCAAATCCTTTGACACTGGTCTCATGCGTCGTGCCCCTTTCATAAACTGACAAACGAGCGGGTGCTGGCCAGCCGTTTTGTCTCCAAAGCCCACATGGCACGCTGATATAGCAGCTAAGTACACTTCGACTGTGGAGAACGCCAAACCCTTGTCCAGCAGTTCCTGCAGGAACGTCAGGATGATCGGCACAGGGCTCTGAAAAGCCAGCACCCCCGCTTTAATGCACCACTCATCAAAGGCGCTCCACTTACCACCGTAAGCAGAGCGTGTAGATGGTGCTCTGGCACCCTGGATAGTGGCAATGACGTTCGGCGGGAGCCCGGCAGTGGCCAGATTCAACCTTTCACGGGCCAGGCCCATAGAGCCATGCGTTCCGGATAAGGATGAAATATCTCTCCGCGCGCCTGCGTCAGGAGGTCCCTGCGCAGAGGGAGACGCCATGGGTGGCCGCATAAGAGTGGAAACAACTCCGCCAGCCAGTGTTGCCCCTAGCCAGCGGGGTGCTATCAGGATTAGAGTCAGATTTCTCTCCCGTACTCTGGCGAGAGTAGGAGCAATCAGCTTCAACGGGGGAAAAGCATACAGGAGGACGTGAGGCCACTCGTGCGCCAACGCATCCAGCCCCATCGGAGCGTTCCGGTCGGTGAGGGAGTAGAACAGGAGACATTGGGCGTTCTCCTCTGACGCGAAGAGATCTACTCTCGCCTCGCCGTACCTCTCCCAAATCCGGGCAACCACTTCGTTGTGAAGCTTCCAATCCTTGTAGCGGGGGTTGCCTCTGGAGAGCAAGTCCGCTCCCAGGTTCAGTATGCCCGGTACGTGAGTGGCTCTCAGCGACAACAGGTGGGAGCTGCTCCACGTTATCAGTCTGTGTGCCAGCATGTGCAGACGATGCGAGCGCAGCCCGCCCTGTCTGTTGATATATGCCACGACCGTGGTGTTGTCGGTCCTGACCAGAACATGCTGTCCTCTTAGCAGAGGCAGGAAATGTTTCAGGGCCAGTGACACAGCTTGAAGCTCCAAGCAGTTTATGTGGAGTAACTGCATTTGTGAGCTCCATGTGCCATTTACTATTCTGCCTTCGCAGGTGGCTCCCCAGCCTGATCGAGAGGCATCCGTAGTAATGACTTTTCTGGCCAGGATGGTTCCCATGGCGACCCCTGTGGTCAGATAAGCCTCGCGCCTCCAAGGGCGCAGGGCCAGGGTGCATGCCATGGTAACCGGGACCTGGTGGTGCCCGTGGTGCGAGGGGTTCAGCTTGAGAGACGCGGCCCATCTCTGAAACGGTCTCATGTGCAGGCGGCCGTACGGAACCACTGTCAGGGCCGACGCCATCAGACCGAGCAGTCTGAGACATGACCTGAATTTCAGCTTTTTTCCTCTGCGAAAGAGTGCTAGGCAGGCCTGAAAGGCTTCCACCCTCTCCGCGGACAGACGCGCTCTGAAAGCGGTCGAGTCCAGTGACAGACCGATGAACTGGATGTTCTGAGTGGGATTCAGAACACTTTTCTCCCAGTTCACCGTAAAACCCAAGGTGGCCAGATGTGACATGAGCAGTCTGCATTGAGCCAGGGTTTGTTGTGGCGACTGAGCTGCCAGAAGCCAGTCGTCTATGTACGTTGCCAAACGCATCCCCCTTTCCCTCAGTGGCGCAATCGCCGCCTCGGTGCATTTTACAAACACCCTCGGGCTCAGCGAAAGGCCGAATGGGAGGACCACATACTCGTACGTTGTGCCTTGAAAGGCAAATCGTAGGTATTTTCTGTGCGGGGGATAGATAGGGATGTGAAAGTACGCGTCTTTTAGGTCGATGGACATGAACCAATCGCCCCGCCGTACAAACCGTAGCAGAGCCGTGTGCGTCAGCATCCTGAATTTGTACCGTCTCAGGTATCTGTTCAGAGCGCGCAGGTCTAATATGGGACGCAGGCCACCGCCTTTCTTTGGGACTAAGAAGTACTTCGAATAGAAACCGTTTTGTCTCTCTTCTGAAGGTACTATCTGGACAGCTCCTTTGTTTAGCAGGGAGTTTATCTCTTCCTGCAATATGCGAGCTTTGTCCCCTTGCGCCCCTGATTCCAGGATTCTGGTGAATCTGGGCGGTGTGGACTCGAACTGGAGCCTGTAACCCTTGGTTACGGTTTTTAATACCCAATCCGATGTCACACACGCGCGCCACTGCTGGGCCCGCTCCGCCAGTGGACCCAACAGTGGTCCAGCTGACGTGCGGGGCCACCCAGCGAGTGGCGCGGCCGCAACATTCAGTCCGTGCCGGAGCCCCGGTGGACTGATATGTTGCGCAACGAGTGGGGTTATGACTCCCCCTCGTGGCGCTACGCGGGGCTTTGCAGCCGCGTTTTGTTTCTGTTTTATTTTTGTTTTCATTAATGATCCAGTCTGCGCCCTTGGTTCTGGACCTGGATGCGCAGTGGATAACGACTTTATTAATGAAAAGGGGGGGGAGGGTGTGTGTTTCGGGGTACTGGTGTGTGCCCTTGTAACACAGGGTCTCTGCAGGGCTCTCTGCAGGACCGACCTTCCTCAACTTCGGGTCGCTGTGGACCACGCGCGCCGGGGCGGCGTCTGCGCGTCTCTTCAGGAGCCCGGAACACGGCCTCCCTGAACTGGGCCGGAACAGAAACATTTTTAGAGGGGGAATGGTGGGAGTCTGGCTGGGCCCAGCATCCCCCTCTGTGGGCAGCG